TAGGAATTTTCACTTCCGATACGATGTATAGGAAATTTCCTATACATGCGTATAGTAGAATTCCCAACATTTTTTACAGTGCACCCCAAAGCTCGAGGAGGGGTGCATGAGGCCGGAAGCTGCGTGTTACTCGTTTGGTTAGGGTTTGCGGGACCAAGAAAAATGCTAGTTTCACAACGAATGAGAAAAAGTCTTTTCAATGAGAATAAGAGTGAAAATTTTGTTTCGTTACTGTTTGATTTGAATGATGTGAATCCTTCGCCAAGTTTCCTTTGAACATCAGGGCAAGAAAAATCATGTCGTCACTCCAGCAAAAATGTTGAGGATAGGATGGCATAGCGGCAATATTCACAGACGGCTAAGGAAAGTCCGCCCAGTTGTAATTAGCCCAGATTTACTGAAATGTTTTTCTTTTGTTTGTCAGCGTGGCTAGGCACAATGAGAGAAACCACTCAACTCTTTGATGAATGACAAAGAGGGAGTGAGCCACCAGGCAAGGCGAGCGCTGTGACTGAAGGCAGCAAGATGAAGATGAAATGGCTCTGGGATGGAGTGCAGTCTGATATTGGGTCATGAGGAAAACGTATAGCAAGGTGGGTACTTGCACTGTACTATGTGAACTAAATTGAAGTTTGCTCTATTCGTACAAGTTGCCCCTGCCAGGCACAACGCGGCATGTGATTCAAAAATTGTTCATCATCAAAAAAGATAATGAAATTTAGACGACTCGGAGAAACTTCCTCTCCAGTATCTAACTTATCGGGCGTGTCATTTCATCAGCGAGAGATAAAGTTATGGATTTCAATGGCCCTTTTACTAGCATGATGCAATTTGACGTAATAATGACCTTCCAAGTAAACATCAAAATTCGGTTTGTTCAAGTCATTCTTCCCTTTTTGTCATGATGATATCCCATGACGTCAAAATTACAGTTTGCTGTTGATTGGGCTGGCTGCATGTTTGCGCCTGGACCGCTTCCCCCCCGAGATTATTACTAAAACGTACCGTTTATGACAAAATCACAAGATTTCATTGAGTCATAAATTTCTTGGTGAAATTGTCATAGAATTGTGCGTAAGAGTGCCATAATTTTCTCAGCTAAATTCAAAATTTTAATTTTTGAGAAAACTTTGACAGGACTACACTACGTGTACAGTGCCGCGTTGAACAGTATGAGTGTATGCGCTGGTCGTGCGTGGCCTCCCTTACGTTTTGCTCAGTTTCTCAATTCCAGGCATCAAAATTGGCTCATCAAATCAGTTGATCACCACACCAGAACAAAGTATTTTCCCTTAGTGTCCGGTTTTATTTATCACACTGACTCAGATAATATTGGACAACAAACCTTATGGCAGCACAATCCGAGAGTATGAATGGGGTGGAGAATGAGCTGCAGACGTAGGGAAGGGTGCAACTGATTGTGAGGTGATTTTAGGGAGAGGCGGCACTGGTACGGTGCACATATATCGCGTTGTTTTCCAGTACACTAAGCTTCAGCTGCTCCCTAGCCAATACATTCAGCAACCCGGCTAAGCGAAACCAAAGGTGCTTTTGAGGGTGCGTTGCTTCGGCTTTACGCTTGACGATACCGTGCTGAGTTTTGCCGTGAGAGCGACATGTGTTTGTAAATTAATAAGCATAAACAAAAATAGAACCGATGAAATCATGAATCATGTCTGAAGGAAACAATGCAAACTCTTTTATTTGTACTTGTATACTCCCCATTAATGGAACTTGCCCTTGGGGCGTTCACAAAGACAAAATATACCAATGACTCTGCATTCTGCAATCCAATATTTGTAGGGTGCGTTTGAACGCCACAAGTCCCCTCCTTCCCCCTCATGGTCCCCCGTAATCTCATCACTATCCAACAGTAACGACGTGTCATTACACTCCTAGCGTATAAAATATTCTAATTAAGGTGTTAAGAGTACCGTGTGTGTCAACCATGCATGGGGATAGGAGCATACTCCCTCCATGAGTATGAGAATACTTATTCCACGGTGTCAACGCCACGACACAACAGTATGCTAGCTCGCTCTACTAGTAAGAAGCCGTGGACCCTAGAGTGTGCGAACCCGCAACACCGGCACAATATATTTTAAATAGCCACCAAAAATGCGCTTCATTGCCAGAAAATGACGATATATTTATAATACATTTATATCTAGCCAAATGTATTTATACGTAAAGGGGCAACCTTGACCTTCGAGCTAATACGTAGGTTAAACCTACCAAACATGGATCATTTTTCAGGAAACCGTGGTTTTGGGGTCGATAAAAGTGTGATGAGCATAATGTTTTTTCGTTGCTTCGTAGTTTGGACCATTTAGAAAAATATCCCGAGGAAATTCAGTTTCTTTGCTCCAATACTTTGGGAGCTACAGGGAATTCCCTTGAATTTTGATCCATGTTTGGAGGGGGGGTGCTCTGACATGGAACACCGAGCTAGCGTATTCTCCCTCACATATGTGATACACAACAGTATTAGGGGAAGGCAAATATTATCTCAAGATATATATTACACAAAATTAAAATTACGAATTACCTTAGTACATTTTGACGAGCAAATCGTGCGTTCGTAAGAGCAGTGACTTTTTGTAAAAAGAAATTTTCAGTCAATTGTTTAGACAGTGTACTGACCATATGTAGGTTGTTCCTTGTATTGTTTTTTTTCTGTGGGCGGCAAACTCTTCGCTGCTGCGGCAGTAAATTCACCACCATCACCATCAGCTCCCGCAAAGGGCAACGCAAGCGACAGCCACCTGGGGGGTGTTGTTGTGCTCTGAGTTTGTGTGCATGAGTCCTCATACCAGACCCCTTGTGTATGTGTGTGTGTGTGTGTGTGTGTGTGTGTGTGTGTGTGAGAGAGAGAGAGAGAGGGGGGGGGGGGGGGGGGGGGGGGGGGGGGGGGGGGGGGCGCCGCGTGGCTGCGTGCTCGTGCTGTCGGACGGTCGGGGGTGATAAAGCAAAGCATTTCATTTGCTGGAGTGCCACTGTCATTTCGTCACTGACCCTCCCCCATCCCTCCCTCCCCCCCCCCCCTCCAACTTTTGCTCTTACCCACGTATTTAGGCTTTCTGCATCTCATCGCGTGCCGTGCTTTTTTCATTCGAGTGCCGACTTCTAATCGTATATAGCACCTCCTTTTTCGCCACCCTGCAATGTGATTCATTGTCCACACAAATGGGAGACGTTGTGCAATTTTAGAGGAGAGTACACTGAAGCATCTATCAGAAGTATTAAAACCATTAGAAAATTAAAATTTGAACTACCCATGATTACTATCCCCTTCTCACTCCTTGTTCTAAACACGCACCTTTACTAAAAATATTTGAGATAATTTGAGATATTACTTTGTTCACGTTGACCCTGTCCGCCCCGTGCCCCCTCCCCTCCCCACCACCAATCCCAGCCGTACCGTTTTCCCCGTTTCCCCTCTTCCCTCCTTTACTATATTTTGTCTGAAACAGATTTATTTAGTGCGCTTTTGCGTTTCTGAAAAGATTTTTTGTGTAATTTTTGATATTTGAGGTACTTGCAATCTTTTGTTTGCTCGGCTGCCCCCCACAAAATCAGGGTGGGAAGTTGTCAAAGTTAAGGTAAATTTAGAGTCCTTTTTCAAAATAAATAAATAAATTTTATGGCCGTTGCGGTGGCACTATAAAACGTGTTTGGTCGGTACAAAAACCACCCTGAACAAACAAAAATTCCATCCCTGTCGTCTCGAAAAAACCGCCTAAGAGATAGGCAATACGATTTACCAGGCGCGATTTTATGGGGGGGGGGGGGAGGGGGCATTCCCCCCCCCCCCCCCCGTCAGCCCAAATCGCCTCCTGGGGTGGGTAGGCAATTTGTCCTACAAAACCCCTAAAAGTAGGCAACCCACAGCAAATCGCCCCCTACCTCATCAGACGGACTTAAAACCGCGCTTGCGGTACACACCCGGTTCACACCTGTGCGTAGGCAACCCATGCTGCCGCCTTCCAGCTCGTCCCCACGGCATCCCGCCCCCACGGCATCCCGCCCCCAACGAAGTACTTTTGCATTTTGGTGTGCTGCAATTTAACGCTTTAACAACTTCCGACGCGTAGAACCGGCCACACACATCACACTCGACATGCCAAGACAAATTTGCGCCGAGCCCAGCCAACCATGATTAAACGTCACGTGTTTGCGCGGCCAGTCTGTGTGTTCCGTGTTTCGGTGTACTTTTTAATGCCCCGCCCCCTCACCCCCGCGCCCTCCACTCGCCCCACGTGTGCTGACAAACTTGCAGGACTTAATTCGTTAGGTCTGTTTGTGTAAACGCTGTCTTTTTATCGCTCGTCCTTTAATTGGTTGAAGTCGTGCAGTGGCGGATTAT